GCATTTCATAAGTAGAAGAGTCCTGATACATCTAAAGACTTTAATTACTTAAACATCCATTTGCCTAAAGCTCTATTCTTTTAGTTTCTCTCTAACAGCTCATCACAAATCCATTGTGTTTTCTTTTTCATAGCTCTTCCTATTCTTCTTTAATAACAGTAATCTTTTACTTTGAGTTTAATCTTCACCAGTCGATTAATAATGTACATATTCATTGTAAGACTTTATTAAAATATTTTCTTCTGCAGTCTTTTATTAAATTGTCATGAGAGTTGTGACTCTTAAGGAATTTTAATAATATCATTAAACTTAGTTTTTAATTGTTAGTTCTTACACATATCTTTTAATAATTTTGGGCTTTGTGTTTTATAACACTAAAGATATTTTTTCTTGGGTTTTTTTACAGACTTTAACAGGAAGATTAATCAGTGGTCTCTATTATCTTCCATTTCTTGGGTGGCTTTATGTCAGACTTTCTATGATAATAAAAAAATTAGGTAATAGTAAGGCAAAATTGTATTAATTTATTGCATTGTCTACACTATCTATAGTCATTCTCTATTGCATTGACTACACTAGAACTAAAAGTAAATAATTCATGTTCATACTGTCATAATGAGAAACTCATCTTAACCTTGTTCATTTCAGAAATAATTATTCATTTCTGTAGTTGAAGATTTTCTGTGCTAATGTTTGGGTTTTTAAAGAAGGCTTTTTCCCCTCTTAATAACAGAAGTGCTGATGGCTTTAACATTATGTAATTAATGATACTGTGTTTAAAAAAAATATAGAGGTGAAAGCAAGAGGCATCTGGTTCTATGGGCCATTTTCTTAGACCTCCTTGCCATTAAATCCTATCTTGTGCTGGGCAAATGCACATAAATTTGAAAAAATTAGTTGGCTAGCTTTCTGAGCATTCACACAGATATTTCTGTGTAAATTCATATTGTAAATATATGTGGTAAAGAACTAGAGAAGGTGGGGACATATCCTGGATTATCTGATTTAGGACTTCCTTCGTTCTCTGGTTTAAAAGAATGCAATAGTTATTAAGTGCCAAATATCTTAACCATAATAATTTCTAGAATCCTCAAGCCATAACTTAAATATTACAAACAATCTTTTGCAACATAGAGAAGGCAAGTAAAGCATACTTAGCCATTTTTACATTTTTGCTAGCTTAAGCATGTTGTTTCATGCATTCCTAACCAAGAGTAATATGCCTGTACTGGGCTGACAGCTACAGTCTCTCTAGTGATGACATTTTTTTTAAATTTGACAGCAAGCAAAGTAAGCCTTTTCCTCAGCTTCTCCACTCCTAATACACTTCATGGAGATTAGCTTCCTAAATGAACTTAGAAATTACTGGGACTTTTAAGACTACAGAGCTTTGGAAAGCGTTCCTGTCTTCTTCAAAAGTTTAACTGATAGACTGCCTGTGTTTGTGGAATTGACTGGCTATAAATTTCTCAACACAAATATATTTCTTTGATTCAAAGGGTATCTATGGAAATTTGATTTAGATTCAAAATGCACCTGCAGTCAAAACCACTGACTTCTAAAGAAACTGAGTATTATATTTTTATATATCTTGCTATTAAACTGGTACATACTGAATATACACTAATGTATGTAATCTTTGCCACAAAATAATTTGACTTGGTAAATGTTGCACTGAGCACAGGCTAAAGAGGAAGGGTGCTGGGAGCTGTCTCTGCTGGAGGACCTCTGAAGTCAGGATACATGAAAGTCTTTATGGAATCAGTATGGATACATGACACTTTGGATACATGAAAGACTATGGAATCAGTATGGAACAATCACTCTTTCTCTAACTTCCCAGTCTTATAAAACGATTTATAAAAAAGGAATGGCCATTAAAATTGTGATTTTCAAATGCATTATTACATTGTTATTAATGCATTAATACATTGCTATTCATGATAGTTAAACAATTTTACTACACAGGAAGCCGGGTACAAAAATCAAGTGCTTATCTCCAGACACTGATCTTACCCCACATTTACAAGGTATGAATCTGTGTGCTGTTTTAAATCTTTATTTAAATCTGTCTTTAGAAAGACGGTCACTTCAATTTCTTTAAAATATATATTTTATAGAAATGTAGAAAAGTCTATATTTTTTGTTTTCATTTTCAATTTAACTTTAAAACTTATAGTTTATTTTTCTGTCTTATGAAGATTATGCAAAAATACTTTCTTTTTTTGTTCAATACCTGCTTCTTGCTTTCCTCTGTATCTAGAGAAATGGCCTTTTTTCCTAAATTCCTAAATTTTACATATCTCTTCCTCTTTTTTTTTTCCCTACACGGACTTCTCTTCACATTTCCTGGAAAATTATTCTCTCTTTCATAACTTATCTAGTCCATTACATTCTACACACCCTTGAGAAATATCATGAAAAGCTAACTACCAGAACAATAAATGGACAGACAAAGATTACAACAAAACGGAACAAGAGAAACCCACAAGTTAAAAAAAAAAGTTCATCTCAGTTGATTTTTTAGAATTAGTATTCTGGCTAGGCAGAGGAAAGCCCACATACAGACTTTTGGTTCATTATGAGTTATAGAGCTGCAAATAATCTGACTGTAATAGGCCATGTACTTTCTGAACTTATTTCAAGGTCACCTGCCTGTGGCCTTGAGAGGATGCCATAGGAGGTAGTAACAAGCCCCTGCTTCCTGCAATCCATTAAACATCAGGAGGTGAAACTAGAATAAGGAAAAATTGACAGAAACACTAGCTCAGACAAGAAGAAAGAATTATGTCTCTTCAGGAAAGTTTTCAACAAACATACATCTGTTTTCAAGAGAGTGAATTTGTTTCCTGGTGATATATCTTTTCAAACCTTGTTGTTTTCAAGTCTTGTTGCCTCCACTGCTCACCCTGCAACAGCCTTTGGTGGCTTAGCTTGGAGCTGTTTCCCCCATCCCCATTCCTGGGATGCCTACAAGAATCATAGTTTCTTATGCGTCCCAGACCGAGTTGATACCTGTCACTCCAGGCACCTGTTGGCTGATGGACAAAATTCAGCTGTGACTCAGCTTTATATAGGGCAGATATATCACCAGGAACTAAATTACAATCTTTCTTAAAAGCCAGTGGGACTTTGGTGCTGATTTCAAGGGACCAGAGCTTCAGCCAAGACAGGTAACGTAAAAGCAAACATGCTGCACTCTTTGACAGATTCATTGTTATTGTTGTTGAGTTTAGTATTAGCATTATTTCATTACTGCTATTGCAGTAGCTCTTAATAAGACTCGAAATAGACTGAAAAATGACTACGACATTAGACTAAAATGATCCTTAAGCAACAAATAAAACACTAGCACTGGTATAGCATAGTGTTATATTTTATTTATTTCCCTTTACAAATACAGATGTATACAAATATAGATATACTTATTTCCCTTTACAAATACAGATTTTTCCCTTTACCTACATAGATGTGAGGAGAGGATGTATTAATTTTGCTTTTTATCAATATTAAAAATATTTTTCTTGTCATTAGGAAATGTCTTTTCTCTGTATTGTAGCAGTATCATGTCCTGGCCCAAAGCATAACCTTATGCATTTACTTCCTATAAAAGAATTAAATTAACTTTGAAAAAAAAAAAAAAGTGATGTCCTTAAAATAGGACTAGCAAACTGCAAGTTTTTCTGCATGGAATGCTGAAAATCTAGTAATATGTTTACAAAGGTAAAGTTAGAATTGCAAGGTCAGTTTAGCTTTAACTAATGTGATGACAGTGCTTGCAAGTGCTGTAAATGCATCCATACAACCACATATCCAGTAGCTAACATTTTTGTGAAAATAGCAGGAAAAGTCTAGAGTTTCAAAGCAGATTCATAGGCCATATCCAGATTAAAGTGGATATTAGATTGTCTGTGTTACAGTAATGTTCAGTACAGCCTGAAAAGAGTTTCTCAAGCTGCCAGAGTGCCATTGATGGCATATTCAAGCTTCCTGGCAAGACAAGGTTTCTATGTGTGATGTGTTTGATGTTGCTTTGCATTCAAGAACATTACTGAAACACAAAAAAGCTCTTATTCAGCGGCCTGAATAGATACAGTTATACCCGAAGGGAGATAAACAGCCATAGCTCAGTGGGTACACAAAGGAACAGGACCAGCAGAATCTGAAGCCGGCTCAGGCCATAGCTCATGCTGAAGCAGTGCAGGCCCCAAGAGCCGCTGGGGAAGGGAGCTACAGACACAGAACAGGCACAGCCCCACAGCCCTCTGCATTGGAGGGGCTGGTGCCCACGGCACCATGTGTGAGCATCAGCCTGGTGAACTGCAGCTGCACTGTGCTGGTGGTGCACAGAGGAGTTTCCCCACTCAGTTATTATTTAATCTTTCTTACAATTAAGAAATACAATCTTGTTTTATCACAAACACCAAACTTTTTGTTAGAGCCCCAAAATATGATTTTTTTTTTTTTTACAGACAGAAAGTAAGTCATAGTGTCATAGAATATGCTGAGTTGAAAGGAACCTCTCAGGACCACTGAATCTGCTCCTGGCCCTGTGCAGAACACCTCAATAATCCCACCATATGAATGGGGAAGTTTTCCCAAACACTTATTGAACTCTGTCAGGCTTGGTGCTGTGACACTTCCCTAGCAGCCTGTTCCAGTGTTCACCACCCTTTGGGTGATAAATTTTCTGATAACCAGCATAAACTTCCCCTGACTCAGTTTCATGCCATTTCCTCAAGTCCTGGCACTGGCTGTGAGAGTGACGGGATTGGTACATGCCCCTTTGCTTCCCCTCAGGAGGATGCTGAAGACCACAACGAGGTCTCTCAGTGTCTTCTCCAGGCTGAACAAAGCAGTGCCCTCAGCTGCTCCACCTAAGGCTTCCCCTCCAGATCCTCAACCACCCCCGCGTCCCTCGCTGGGAGCATTAGACTCCATTTGATTTGGGCTGCCAGCGGGGCGGCTCCCGGCCCCTCGCGGCGCGGCCCCTCGCGGCGCTGCGCTCCCGCCCCGGGGCGGTGCTGCTGCCGGCGCCAGCCGCTGCGGGCCGCGCGCCGCTCCCGGCGGGGACGCCGTGCGCGCCGTGTGCCGGGCCCCGCCGGGAGCGCTGGGCGCTGCATGGGAGCTCTTCCCCAGCGCTCCCCCACCTCCCCCCGCCGGCTGCACGGAGGAGGACGGCGGAGCATGCCACCGGCGGGGCGGTTCCGCGGGAACTGACATGCTGCCGAAGGAGGGCAGGCGCCAGCCCCTCCGCCTCTCCCCGCGGTAGCGGAGGCGATGCTGCAGGGCGCTCTCCGGGCTCTCCCGCAGCCGCCAGGCTATCGCCCGCAGCAGCCGCGCTCGCTGCCGTGAGCGGCGCGGCTCCGGCCCGGCCGAGGCGACGAGCGGCGCGGGCCCGCGCCCGTGCCCGTGCCCGGGGCGGCGGCGGCGGCGGGGAAGGCGCTGCCCGCGCCCGCGGGCGGCTCCGCGCGGCGGATGCGTGTGCATGAGCGCTGCACCGAGCGGGCGCAGGAAGCGCCCCCGCTCCGCCGCCTCCATCTTCCAGGGCAGCAGGACCTCGCCGCACGGCCGCGACAGCGAGCGCCGGGGCAGCGGCTCCGATAGTGCCTATCAGACCCAGAGAACCCTGGATGACTGTAAGATGGTAAGTGCCTCGGGCGGGCTTGCCGTAGATTTTTACCTTTTCCGAGCTCTCCCGGCGCAGGGCAGCGGTGCCATTCCTTCCGCCGCCTTGGCTATTCCCATCACGTGCAGTTGCACTGTTTTTAGAACCGCAGTCCCCGCCGGGGTGCTGCCCTGCGCCCCAACTCGCCGCGTTCCCAAAGCGGAAGCCGGGAGGTACGAGGAGACCTGCGGAGCAGGGAGCGGAGCCGGGCGCCTGGACAATCCTGCGAGAGCAGGAGTCCTCACCCTAGTACACACACCGCAAAGCAGCTGGAGTTGCTTTTCGCTAGATCCGTCCAAATCGGTACTCAGGCTTGGGCGCACGGAAGCCTAAATGGGTAAATAGTTGCCTCCAATGAATTACTGCACTACTTGCTGTCTTGTGCAGCAGCCGCATGCTTGCTCTAATATAATTCTAAATAAGGAGACACAGAGTTAGAGGCCCTGAAATTCTGTCCCTGATATATATGGTACCTGTTACCAGTCTTCCCATAGTAACTGGTTGCAGTTGTAAAACCTCAGGTGAAACACCTGCATCCGTGTTATTTATGGACTGTTGCATTCTGGTATGAAATTTTTCCCCAGTCACGTTTAAAAAGCTTGCATCCTGACACTTTCATCCAAATCAGCACTGTATGCCTTCTTTCAGGCTCCTTAAGCTACAGTCAGTCTGACACTGGGCCCCAGAATTACCCCTCTAGCTAGTGACAGATGTAGAAAAAAAAATGAAGTTGTTGATACTTTTCTGGACAAATCTGCACCTAGAAAATAAATGGAGCTGCTACTTTTCTGGACAAATCTGTACCTGGCTAAAGCTCTGTCCAGTAGCAGTTCTATTCTGCTGGATTCTGGCAGTTCTTTTTACTCTGGTGCTGCAAAATATGCTGGGAGATTATCCATGCTTCAAGATTGATGCTTCAAGATTGAGAGCAATTCCCAGTGCATGGAGGAACAAAAGCTGCCATGGTCACTCTACATATAAGTGGATCTTACTAGGTTCTGCCTTTTTTCTCATTCCCAACAGCGTAATGTGATCAGGTTTAAGTTTTAAGAATTAATTGGTTTGAAATAAAATGTTTTATAGGTGGATTATCAAGTTGCAATAGGATTCAGGAGGTAAAATTAATGTGGTCTTTTTAATGTGGTCTTTTTCTATGTCTCGATTCAGCAACATATGTGTGGTTTTGTTTTCCTGGGCAGTGCTAAGGTGGCTGGATGGTCTGTTTAAACAAGGAATGTGAGGTGAGAACTGGCAAAATGTATATGGTGCAACCAGTTACCAGTTGCAGGATGCGACACTTTTCTTCCTAATGCAGAATAATCACACTATGACACAACACAGTACAAATTTTTTTCCTCTCTATTGCCTTCATGCATTCTAAGAGTTGAGGACTTGTTTAGGAAATACTGTGCCTAGGGCTTTGTTTGGTGTGTGCTTTTGCGGTTGTTTGGGATCTGGGTGTGGGAGGGTGCAGATGTACTGAAATGCACTTAGGTTGACTTGCTGCTGTTGACAAGCAGAGGAACCGATTTGGTATTCTTAAAATGAAATTTAAGAAAGTATGGCCAAAACTATTTTTGATACCAGTTCTCATCTAGGCAGTTAATTGCAGTGGGATGCATGAAGGGTATGAATATAATGCTGTAAAAGTGACTAGTGTATTTCCTGATAATGAGAATTTGAGGACTTGAGTGTAATGATTGGTAGCTCGAGACTCTTAGTATGTTTTTATGTTGGGGTAGTTGAACTTCTGGTGCTAATGATGACTGCAGAATTATGAGCAATTACTCTTGTCTGTTTTTCTGTAGTTTGGAAATTGAGGTCAAAACATAGATAAATATTCTGTTCTATTACTCCAATCCTTCCACCCCCACCACCATGTGGAGCAAATGATCTTACATGCATTCCTTCAGAAGACAGCAAATGCTTCATTTCCTTAAAATATCATTCCATGTACATGATCAGTAGAACTAAACAGTAATGATCTTTCCATTATGCTGAAACTAGCATTTATCCAACAACATCTGTATATATCTGCTGGATAGTGGATTTCTGTACAGGTTGTAGTGTTTATTTACTAATTTGTTTCTTTTTCCCACATGCACTTTAGAGAACGTGCTTTCTGGAATTTTAGCAGGAAAGTGCCTATCTGGTACATCTTCTCAGCCAGTTACAGCAGATGAGTTTTAAGTCAGAAATCTGGGTTGAAGGAAAATGACAGAACAGAAATCATTACAAAATAAATTAGCAAAATTGCCCATTTAAAAGCAAATGCTACATTCCAGTCCCTGTACATGCTGTTGATCAGGAAGCAGGAGAAGCAAAGGCAGTAATTTCTGGAGATATTTTCGCCTTTCATGACAGCAAAAAATAACCTCATGCTACTAGTAAAACAGATGTTTTTTTGTCTGCTTAATATTTAATACTAATAACTCAAACACTTTCAGATATTGAAAGCAGAAACATTACTTTCCTACAGATGAACATTTATAGCTCACAGAAGAAGCAGCTGCCATGGAGTCTCTGGTTGTTTACTGAATCGTGTGCTCTTGATCCTGTGTGCTATGAAATTGTGAGAAGCAGGAACAAGCCCTAGACTGGGCATGTTTTTAAAAAACTGGATTGTTTTTACCAATGTAGTTAAAAATTCTCATGCATGTAAATCGTTTTTGTTTTTCAGCTTGTCCAGGAGTTCAATACCCAGGTGGCTCTCTATCGGGAGCTGGTCATTTCTATTGGGGATGTCTCCGTCACCTGTCCTTCTCTGCATGCAGAATTGCACAAAACTCGAACCCGAGGATGTGAGATGGCCTATCAGGCTCATCAAAAACTAGCAGCAATTTCTGGGTAGGAGGCAACTTATGCTTAATTAAAGCCATATTCCCGTGCAAATCTGTGTTAAGTACTACATAATAGAAACTTTCAGAAAAAACATTACCTTTTGTTTTTCTGTTTTAAGCATAGAGGTGCATGACCACAAATTTTGCAGAATGTCTATATCCTTATGCAATTTTGGATCAAGTCCTGGTACCCTTACCAAGAACATACCCTTCTGATTTCACTGGATGCTTTTATGTGAGACAAACAGGATTTTACTGCGTATAACTACACATCAAAGGGGAAGTCATGCCCTTCAAGGGTGAAGCAGCAATAGCTTTCTCTCCAGTCTTTCATTGACTATACCTAATTGAATAGTTAAGAGACAACTAGCTCAGTTCAATTAGAGACTCAACAAAATTAAACCAAAATTAGGTGCAAACTGAGTGAGTGGAATACAAAAACTACTCTGATAATTTGTGTTTACCTTCTACATGCTTTTAAACCCTTGTTTGTGTTGAAATAAGAATGAAACTTGGCCAGCATACAGTGTTTTAATTTATTCTCTGGTATTACATGATGTACATTCCTTTCCATGGTGACAGAATGTATTATCACATACTTGAGATTGTGCCTCAGTGCAAGATCAACCAGCATAAATAGCTGTTTCCTAAAAAATGGGAATTCGTGCAGCTAATTCCATGTGGGTTCTTCACAGTATGGTGACTGGGACATTTGTATTTATACATGTACCCCCTGAGTCATGTCTTTCTGATTACACTTTGTCAGAACTTTCTGCGTGTGTCTTATCTACCATAAGCTATTTTGCACCACCAGAAATAGAAAACACCTTAATTTTTTGTAACTCTGTCTAATCCCCATTTAATTTTTTTTCTTCGCTGTAATATATTAAAGAAATCTATTATAGGCTTGGTATATAAGGGGAGCTCAAACTAACAAACCAAACAGAAGAGGATACTGGTTGGCTATTTTAGTAGAATTGTCATAATTTTCAAGTAGGACTTTGTGTAAAGTTAGTTTAGTGACCTCTGATTTGTTCCTCAAACAAAATATATACTTTTAAAATACTAACATCGGTGGGAACTTTTAAAAACATCAGCAATGAATAGGCATAGTTCTTTTAACCAGTACATTGAAAATGTGAAAACAAGCAGTAGTGAAATATATATTTTGTGCTTTCAGACTCAAAAGAAAAACTTATATAAACCAAAATAATACATTTGAATAGCTGAACCTATTTTGTAACTTTAAAATATTTTTCCCTGTAAAGAAAACAATTGGTACATGCTCATTTCGAAAGTACATGTGTTTTTTAAGCAATTATTTTGCAGCTGGAAGTCTGTCATATACACAAAGATGTCCTGGAGGTTGTGCAGTTGCTGCGAGACTGACATTTGGCTAATCTAAAACTGTTTTAAATAACTCTGATAATACTGTGATATCCATAACAACTGGTAGGTGTTAGAAACTCTCTGGAAATTGTTTGGTTTGACACACATTTTACAAGATATGCGTCACATCCCCACCCTTCTGTAGCTGAGGAAAGCCATGTGAGACAAACTTTTCTGGTGTATTTGTGAGGAAAGGTGGTAAATGAAGAATTGAAAAAGCCAGAAAGAAACAGAAGGAGAGAACTAATAAATAGGCTCAGAGATTTAGTCTTTGTTTCAGCAAAAAGACTGATGTAATGTATATGAAATAAGATCTGGCATAGGAATCTAGTTGGAGAGGAAGGAAAAGTATGAGGAAGAAAAATGCTTAGGGACAGGAATGCATTAAATCATCCTTAGTATTGAATAGTCAGGAGGGTAGTGTGCTTCTCAGAAACCACTGTTATTCAGCATATGGGATGAAGACTTAATTAGTCTACTGCTTTAGTTCGAAATGCACAACACTGCAGTTGGTAACACAACAAGTTCTATCTTCCAAAACTTATTAAAGAAAATGTGTTGCTTTTTCACGTAGAAATAATAATAGCAAGTAGCTGTTTATGTCACCAGACTGTAACATTTCACAAAGGAACAGCATTCTGTTAATTAAGGCCATTGGTAATCTTCAGTTACTCTCTAAGAGATCTACCTGAGGTGTTGCATGGCTCTTTTACTTTTGAGAAGCTGGTGTCTAAGAGAATACTAAGTTTGTTTATCTTGTTTGTGCTGTATTTTCCTTGGAAAATTAGCAGACACCTTAATGTTGTGCTGTTCCTTTTTGAATATATTGAGATTTCACAGAATTATGGAATTGTTAAGGTTTGAAGGACCTCTGGCATCATCTGAAGATCACCTAGTCCAACTCCTGTTGGTACTAGTGCATTTGAGATGCTTAAATACACACCTGACTTGGACAATTAGAAGAGGCACCTATTTCCTTTTCTAATTCACTTGTCCTATAAGACTAAGCAAGGTAACAAAGAGGAAAGATGCAGAGACTTGGAAAGAAAGAAACAAAAGCAAATCCTCTAGTGCTGGGGAAGGGAGCTCTGGGATGAAGTCTGGAAATTATGGGAAGGGAAGGAAATGCTGAAGTGGAGATAATGCATTAGGAACTGAGCAGGATAGAAGTCATGAGGACAAAAAAATACATTTTTTATATTAGGCAAACATCAGAGTAGGACAGTGATGCAATGTGAACAAGAGAAAACTGCAAGTGTACCTGTAGAAAAAAGATACACTGATATGCCAAAAAAAGCAGATTCAGCTATAGAAGCAGAGGAAGGGAAAGTCACACTTATGTTTTAAAACCTGAGAGAAAGAAAGACAAGGGAGATAATGAAAAAAAGATGAAGTAGCAAGGAAACATAAAATGCTATAAAGTCCACACTGGAGTAGACCATATCACCCCATCCCGCTCAAACCTGACGACTGCTGGTAGCAGAGATTTCGTTAAAAAATAAGCAAAGATACAAAAAATAAATTGTGCATAGAACAGCTTCTCTCAGCTGCTATCCAGCACTCAGTAAGCAAAGACTGAATCTGAAAGATTTGTATCTGACAAATGTGATTTCTCTGTGACAAATTATTATTATCAAAAAAAACTGAGATTGAATGAAGACATCTTTACACTGAGATGTGTTTAAAATCCCATTTACTAAAAAAAATATTACTGAAAAAGTAAACTTCAAATTAAGTCTTCAACTTAATAGGGCCTCATAGATATTACATCCTCTTCTTTACTTGCTCTGATATCTTTTTCTTACAGAAGTAGTGAGATGTTAGCAGAGGGAAATAAAGATTAGAAATAAAAATAATCTAAATTGAAATACCTAATTCTAAGTACTGTTCCTTTAGGAATGCAAATCAACATAAACCCTCCTTTCAGTGTTGGTTTTCTCAGGACTTCAGGTCAATTCCTGCTCTTACATTAAAAGTTGGTAGTGATTTTTAATGAGCTGTCTTCTGAAGAAGGTGAGTAAGGTTTAGTCCTTTAATCACATTTTCTGCTGTAGAATGCAGCAGAAATTAAAAATCTTGTAAGTATTTACATTGTGCATTGTTATAGTATTAGCTGTCATGGTCAAAACTGGAGAAATTACAGCAACAAGAAAATGAGTCAGCATGATGTTTTCCAAAGAAAAGAAAGGAAAAAGTATTTGTAACAGTAAGAAGATGGGTGAGGGGGAAAGATGTAGATCTCTGTTATGGAAGGGAGTCTGCTTTATGGAAGATAAAGTGGTGGTGATCTGTTAGAGTTCATCAAACGGGGTTTCATCAGCTGGTTTTATAAGTGCAGTCCACTGAGTCTGGGATGTCAACAGAAAGATAACTCAGAACTGTATTTTAAGATACAGGTCTGCACAACTGTGCACACACTTTTGTAAATGTCCTTACATATTCTCAAGCACTTGATATGCTTACATAATGTGTGCACTTGGCACACTGAGACCAGAACTGGCAGTATCTCTGTGACAGTCTGATATATATGTTGGCAGTGGCTTTTTTTGCATGAAACAAAATTTGTGTGAGGAGCTCAGGGGTGCATGGCAATGTACGTCTGTGTGAACATAGCTCTGAAAGTAATTTTTCTCTGATTTTTCTGACTGGTGTTGCAAAGTCCAAAATCTAAGGAGGAATAAACCTCTACACTAGTACACACTGGGGTAGCAGCTTTGCAGAAGAGGATCTTGGGGTTCTGGTGAACATCAGGTCAAACATGAGCCAGTGCTGTGCCCTTGTGCAAAGAGGGCCAGCAGCCTCCTGTGCTTCTTTAGGAAATGTTGCCAGCAGGTCGACGGAGTTCACCATTCCTTTCTGCTCAGGAATGAGGGCTGTTTGATGCCATATCTGGAATACTGGGTCCAGCAATGGGCTCCCTAGTAGCAAGGAGGAAGGGACATCTAAAGCAGGTCTAATCAACTACCTTAAAGATGGTTAGGCAGCATCCCACATACAAGGCAAGGCTGCTAGACCTAGATTGTTTAGCTTGGAGAAGAAAAGACTGGGAGGGGGATATTATCCATATGCATAAAAACTACCCAATGGACTAGTGTAAAGATACAGTCAGACTATTCTCAGTGATATACAGTGATAGGACAGCAGGTAAATTAAATACAAATAAAAATTGATTTTAAAAAATTTAAACTTTTTTTAGTGTGAGGCAGGTAGAATATTAGAACAGGTGCACTGTGAGGTTCTGGAGTCCCTGTCTTTGGAGATCCTGAGAATTCTATTGGTCATGGCCTTCCATGGCCCTCCCTCTGTAGCTAACACTACTTTGAGCAGGAGGCTTGGACCAAATTAGTTCTAGGTGTCCCTTCCAGCCTGTGACAAAGTCACCATAGATCTCCTTGGGAAAATTTAAAAAAAAAGTTTCCTTATTTGACACCCATGTGCATCCGTTACTTTTATAGTTGTTAATTTTAAGTTTCCCTATGTTCCTGGAAGGTTGAGAAAGTCAGCTAGACATCACATCCTGATTGCAATAATTTGCAGAGAAAGACTATCACAGTCTTGCTTTAAGCTTTTAATTTTATGTAATTTCTATTATTGTTTTCCTTTGCAGTCTACAGTAGG